CGCCACCCTTCCGGTCTAAAACTCAAAGGCCCCATCCTTCCGCCTCTATAAAGCCACCACATTTTTGCTGCGGTTGAAATTTTTAACCGATTTCAAGGTCAGCATAAAGCCTGTCCCAGGGACTCAGCAAGCCCTAAAATTGCAAGTATTTGCAAAAGTTATCTGAGTGCTCAAAGTCTTTTGAAACACTTGTAGACAAAATGAGCCTCTACTTCCACAAAACCGCAATTTTGTCCAGTGCTAGTGCCCTAGCTACAGTACTCAAAACTTTCGAGGAGTACAAAAAAAATACAGTATCCAAATGATAATGAGGAGCTGCAAGAAAAAGCAATATACAATGTTTCTCATCTCTCAAGGAGTATTACAAGAATAACAGCTGCTGTGGACACACTTCAGCAAAAAGTTGACAAGATGGAGCACAATTTAGCAATACAAAATCAAAAACCGACCAGAAAGAGATGCTGGCAGATATTCAAGAGAAAGAGAAAGAGTCGCAATTCTCAAAATTATTAGCAGAAGCTGAAACATTCCTACATATCTTGGAGTCGCAACTTACAGATGCTAAAGCAAATTTGGCAAAAGCACAACGCAGGCTAAAAATTATGTCTGCAAGTTCTTGTTTGGAAGGTACCTCGGCGCATAGCTAAGGAGATTCGAACTCTGCGAGAACGGAGGATAGTTTGAACGCTGAACCTATAAGGACAAGGTCAGTCAAGCCTCCAAATGTAAGACTGCCCAAATTCCATAGTGAGCAAGAGCAATTTCCAGAATACTGGGCAGTTTTTGAGTCGCTTATTCACAACAACAACGAAATAAGTCAAAATGGGTAAACGTCTACTGAAGGACAGTTTGAAAGGTAAGGCAGAAAAGGCAATAAAGGGCATTCAGCCGGTAGAAAAACATTGCGATTGGATGATCAATACATTGAGAGAAAAGTTTGGAAATAAGCCAGCGGACAGATTGAGAATAATACAGAAATTGTTTGACCTCAAACCAGCAAC